TGTTTTTTAGCTATAATTAAAAGGTGATTGAGCAATAAGAAATCTTCTTCTCTTTTCCAAATCCCAAAGAGTTTATCAATATTAGAAAGTCTGTCTAAAACTATATTTACATTCATACACCAATCAATAAAGTCCAGCCAAAAATAATTAGTGAATGGACATGTGATCAATAAATGGTCTAGGAATTCGCTTTCTGCACCACAGAATGTACATAATGGTGAAGCTATCAAACCAATTTTGTGTAGAAAAGCATTCGTTGTTAAGTGTCTATTGAGAATTTTATACTGAAACTATCTCGATTTTGTGTCGATTAGTACTTTACGGCAGGTAACCATGAGAAAGCCCTGTTTCACCGTTCTTACATCAAACGTCGTATGAAATTTGAAATATACTTTTATTCTCTACAATTGACAAAGTTCTGCTTAAGAGTAATTTGTGCATGCTCCAAAAAATCAGTTCGGGTGTGAGGTTTTATTTCTTAGTGCTGACCAGAAGGATTTTGACCTTTAGGAATGGGAATGTTATTGGATTATAACGCAGTGAAAGTTGTGTGGTACCTTCACAAGGATTGACCAGAAAATGATTCTTGTTTCCCTGACTGATGTGTTGAATACTCTTCACTTGTTAAGTCTGATTATTGTTGTTGCTGTTTTTCTGCAGTTAGTGACACAGTGTCAGTTGGTGAAGCAGCAGATTTAATAGAGCTTGGTAGTGAACCTGTTAAAGTAACACCTTTGGAACCTACTGGTCTCCATGTAGAAGAAGTAAGTGGAACATTCCCGGTTTAGAACTATCAGCAGATTGTCTAAATCAGCGATGATCCTTTTCAAGATTACTGTCATCCATGTTATCACATAATATGATTCGGAGACTACTCGTAATGTTTAATTTTGAACTTTTCCTTTTTCATGTGTTATAAAATAATAGTCTAAACAAACCCTATGCACCACTGCAACAATTATGTATTAATTTGAAACAGTTGAGGTTCAATCATGTTTTGACTCACTTCAGATCGAACCAGAATCACAACCTCGTCGCCATAAGTTGCCAAGAGACGCAAAGAAACGGGACACCTCACGGGACGCTTCATGGGACGCTTCACGGGACAGATCCCAGCTAACCCGCAGCATTGATTCCGAAGACCTGCTCTTCAACTTCTCAGAAGATGATGAAATGGATAGGATCCAGAGGAAAGCTCTACTAGGTGCATTGTTTTAAAAATATATATATTCGACTGTAGGAGGGATCTCCACGAAAAGTACTTTGCAAAGTTCAGAAACTTGTTTAACTTTGATTTTGCATTCTCGGTTGGTAATAGTGATAAACATTGTTTTAACTGTATTTTGTGAGAATTTGGTTGTGCATATTTGTATGTCATCTTCTTATGAGCCTCTTTCTTTCAGCGTAGAAAAAGTCTATTACTTTGTTTTATTTTTAATGAAATGTGGTGGTAAAAGTTAAAGAATATTTTGTCACTTTGCCTTGTTCAGTGTCACGCGTGAGAGCGTTGAGGTATTGTCCTGAAGAATGTATATTTTGAGTTTGGAATTTAATGTAAAGTGTTTTCATTGAACTATTTTCAGGGATAACTGAGAGGCACTGGGACGAGGCTCCATTGTCGGCGGCCATTGTTCGCCCCATTAAACCGGCCCAGACCTCTCGTGCACCAGTCTCCAGACTCCTAAATGCCGTGAAGGTCAGAGACTTCGACTTGGCTGAGTTGGAACTAAGAAAAGTTGAGTCAAGAGCTTCTGCACTGAGAACACTGGCAAGCTCTTCTGCAGATAAATCAAGGAATTTGGAAGGAGTAAGGTAAGACGATATATTGCAAAATAAAAACAGCGAACTATCATTTAACTTCCTTGCCATTAAAACTAACAGTAGCGAGGGCATACGAAGCAATTGTTGTTAAGAGGTTTTTTTTTCATGTTGTTTTTCCTTCATGCTGCAGGCTTGTTCGAGTGTCAGCAGGAGAAATTGAAAAACTGACGCCACTTATCGTACAAGCAACACGTGATTTCAGAGCCAACCCACGTGATTTGGTTGCTGTTGAACGCTTGCAGACCATTGGTCGAGAATGGGCCTCTAAAGTTCACGTGCTCTCTGGAGCTGTTGATGAAATTGTGACTCCGTGGTCAGCTGCCGCTTCTAAGCTGGCTTTAGCTGCGACTTCTGGTGACGCAGAAGAGTTAAAAAAACAGGTAGAATATTTTTTGACGGAATCTATACTTAGATGCTGTATCAGACAACGTCAATTTCCTTCTTTGACTCTCTCCTCCTATCTGAAACCCTAAGCAACATAACGTAACCTAATGGCGACATATTGACGTCACTCCTTTCGTAGTGCTTATGCGAAAAGCGCGAAAATGTACATACTACATACTAAATGAGGCATGACAAGTCTAACAAGCTAGAGCAAGTCTTACTAGCTTACAGAACCAATCGTAAAGNAAGAGTTAAAAAAACAGGTAGAATATTTTTTGACGGAATCTATACTTAGCTGCTGTATCAGACAACGTCAATTTCCTTCTTTGACTGGAATGCTGGGTAGGATTTGCCTCTCTGAGCCCGCAGTTGTCGACAAAATTATCGCTGAGTAACCAGTTTTCCAGATAACAGAAAGGTCTCAGGTGAAAAGCACGCCAAGGTTGACTTATGAGACTGAGGTCTAGTGAGCCATTGGAAATCGTTATTGACTCCCTCTCCTCCTATCTGAAACCCTAAGCAACATGACGTAACCTAATGGCAACATACTGGCGTCACTCCTTTCGTTGTGTTCATGCGAAAAGCGCGAAAATGTACATATACTAAATCAGCCATGACAAGTCTAACAAGCTAGAGCAAGTCTTACTAGCTTACAGAACCAATCGTAAAGCTTAGAGAATGCAAGACAAACATGTTGTTCTCGTCAGGTGGACAACATAAACAAGCATGTTCTGCGACTCAGACAGCTTGCTGTGGCTGCAAAAGCTGCAGGTGACGCTGAAGACTACGCTATGGATGCTGGGAATGAAGGTGAAGCGCCTGCGCGTGACCCAGCCTCTCTCCAGCGGGTAGAACAAGTTCATATGACGTCAGCAGAAATCGAGAGAATGACACCTCAGCTGATTACAGCTGCTCAGGTGATAAAGCCATTTGATTTTCCATTTGCATCGATTCAATTCTGTACATGTTGTCATTACATATCTATGTGTGTCTCTGTGTTGCGGGACTGAACGGGAAAACCTTTTGTGTCACGTGTGGGGTGATTTTGTTATTAGTTTCTAGTCTTTTTTAGTGGGCATTTTCTGAGGTTCTCTTATTTCCCTCCCTCCTTAGAAATTAACATATCTGAACTCCAATTTGGTCTACTTAGAGGACCCTCTCAAAGCCAGCTATAATTTATGTGGCTTTCGTCTTTAAATCCGGAAATGTGTTTATCTTCTCGTTTATTTACCTAATTATTTGTCTCTGCAGGCGCTGTCAAGAGATCCAACGGACATTGCAAATGTTGAAAGACTGGAACTTCGTAGAAGGGACTGGGCCTCAAAGGTTCACAGTCTGGTGTATGCAGTAGATGACGTCACTGTAGGGACATCTGCGCCTGTCGAACAATTGGCTGCTGTTGCCTTGGCAGGGGACCAGCATGCATTGCAGGAAAACTCCCGGATGTTAACGTCATACGCGCGAACTCTAAAAGGAATGGTTGATGCAGCTATAGCAGGGTGAGTAGCCTCACGTGCGTGGTTATCTCCATTCATGTTTTAATCTTTATGAATTGATGTATGTTTTCTTCCGATAATTTGTGTTTTGTTTTAGTTGTAATGATCCCAAGAAAGTCAGCTTAGCCAAGGCAACTGTAAACTCCGTTGAGAAGTTGACCGCTGACCTGCAAGACACAGCTCGCTCGGTGTCGGAGATGGCATTACGAGGACGAAGAACACTGGAACAAAGCTTATCATACATGGGGGTGGTAGAGAGGATGAATATGCTTCAGAGAGAATGGGCTACAAAGGTAGAGAAAATTCAGCATTGTTACTCTGGGTACGGCCAGACGGGGGAACTGGCGCCCATAGAATTTCAAATTGTTGTTGTCCAATAACAATTGTCGTGACTTCTCTTAAACTTGTCACGTTATCTTGCTGCTATGTTGTGGGTAAAGCAGAGACACTTCATCTGGTATACATCAAGGCTAACCTTAAACTTACGAAAAGAAAAAGTCTGAGAAAATAAATAAACCATGTTGCTGTCAAATCTGTGTGCTTTATTAATACATCTTTATGCTTGACTCTTTTCTATAAATCACTTCCAAAATGCTCGGTTATAGTATGCTAACTTCGAAATGTTTGGTTATAATCGGTTCTAAATTGGATTCTCTGTAAACTGCAGGTTCATTTGCTGACAGCTCTCGTGGATGACCTGACCGCTGAAGCATCTGCACCGGTGGATCGCCTCGCGGGCGCAGCGCTTGCTGTTAGTAAAGCAGAACTCGGTGAAAGAATACAACAACAAAGCAGATTTGAGATGCAAGCGGACGAACTGAAAGCACGCGTGGCACGCGTCAGAACGCACGCTAGTAAAGCTGTGGAGAATTCCCGGCACGCGAGTAAAGTCAGGACTGTTCGCGTGACTGGTGACTTCATTGATAGGCTGACACCGCAAGTTATTGCCGCGGCACGTGCTCTGGCAGGTGAGATAACTTCGTGTCTCTTGAACTGTTGACAAGGTAACGCGGTAATGCCGTTAAAGATCACGTGTTATATAAGTTTGACACATTGACCCAAAGAACGTCTTCACTTAAGTTACATCCTCAATTCTTTTTTCTTCTTCTTCTTCCAACTTTCCTTTGCTTCTTTCCCTTGAAAAATGAAAGATGTAAGAAAATGTTAAGTCCGCGATCAATAAGAATTGCGCGCTTGAAGTTTACATGGTCTTTCGAGTCCGTGATTTTGGAATTTTTGTAGACATTTTCAGTCGTGTAATAGCTCTCTTATTTTAATTACTCGAGACCGCTCTTGGAGATACCCAAGAGGTAGGGCCGATATTCTCCCATGTAGTAAGCAATCTTTGGTTTTTTCCCATATGTCTTAGTCACTACTCATTGAATGAAATTTCAGACAATCCAGATCAGCCAACTGTGGAACATTTCCAGATGTTGCGGCGTCAGTGGGCGTCCAAAGCACAGCTGTTAATGGCTACACTTGATGAACTGCCTGATGCTGACACTGCAGCAGTGCAAGGTAGATAACATCACGTGCAACACGCGCGAATAACCAGGGTGTGTCCGCTTCAGGGTGTGTCCGCTTTGTTTTTACACTGCGCTGCTCGCGCGGAAAATGTCACATGAGACAATTTCAAGTAGTGTTGGAACTCAGAGTGGGGGAAAATGTTTTTACGACAGTCTAGAGCAGGTCATTCAAAGCGTTACGAATGTTACTTTCAAACTTTGGACCACAAAAAAAGAGGCCATAAATTGTGCGGTTGATAACTTTGAGTTTCCACGTGTAAGTCAAATATTGTCCGCCGCAGCTTTCCTCTAATAATGGTAAATACTGTATTTAGTATTACCCCTTCCTGGTATATTCCTCCCCCAGCGTTAACAAGGAGAAAGTAATTAATTTACCCTCAATGGTGAATAGGTTTTTTTCGTGGCGTCGCTGCTAGGTTGAAACTTTATAAATCATTCTATTCAGAACAATATTGAGTTTAGTTTCGATTTTTTTCGGTCCTTTTTAGCTTTTGTTCCTCTTGATTGTTCCTTTTTTTTGTTTGGGGGAGAGGGTGACATTTTTTTATTCTTGTGTGGGACACATTGGTTCAATCTTTTAAGCAACAAGTCGACGCAGCTTATAAGGATTAGTTTAGCATTTTTCTCAAATTTCTGTTTTCTAGTTTGGTGCAGTTTTCAAATGACTGTCGAAAAGTAATGAAAAGTTTGTTTAACCTACGCGCATACGCCTACTGTCTCCTTTGTTTCACATCACGTTTGCGCGTGATACAAAGGAAACTGTGGCCGTCTGCATCCAGGCTACAAGTCCTGTGAAGTTTTACAGCCAATCAGAATAAACATGATGGAGATTTTTATCAGTCTATCAGAAGCAAACAAAAACCTTTGGCGACTTGGCTTTGCATTCTTTCTGGGCATGGCACGTGTTCCGTGGATGTCCTACTTGAACTTTGGATTGGTTCATTACATCATTTGCGTTTGTTTTGATTGGCCATCTATCACTCGTCGTTGGGGTTTGGCGACGTTTATTCGGAAACGTCCTCTATTCTGCAACTGACCAGTGAAAGTAATCTTCCATTGAAATAACCTTGTCCCCAGATTCTTACAATTCTTGGAGGCTAAACAGAGAAGATTTACGTTGAACAACAAATGAGTGAAAATTAATGTTTTTCGTCAGATGTGTTCCAGGATTTATTAGGCATCCCACAGTTAGACCCCTCACAGAGCTTTGAGTCCCTGAACGAAGAGGAAAAAGAAACTATCGCGGGCTCAACCCGTGGGCCGCCGTCAGTAACACCCCTACACTCCCAGGAAGACAGTTTGCAACAATCCTCCACCCCGTCGAGAAGTTTGCTACCTGGAGTGGGTCGATCGCCAGAGATGAGCTCCTATTTTGATGACATGGCATTGACCAGTGTAAGCTTTTTATCCTTCTTTAAGACAAAGAAGTGGTGTCATAATCAAGCCATGTTTCCAGTCGTGTTTGTTTCGAATTCCTTGACAGTGTGTTTTTTTTGTAGTATTGTCAACTGACAATAATTCTTTACCCCAATCAAAAGTAGAGAATAAGAACTTTTTAGAAGGGAGTGGGGCGGAGGGGGGTGGTATTACTATCCCGAATTTGTGTCATATTCCGAATGTCCACTTCCGAGATGTTATTTAGCAATTTATATTCAGCATAAAATGTTTATTCGTAAGCAAATACTTTATCAAACGTTATCGCCATTTAAATATTTTACAGAAAGCATGGTAAGATTCCATGTGTTAATTTTATATTTTGGCTCTGTTTTAATTGCCTGTGGAAAAGGTAGCCTTTTGGAAGTGTCTGTAAGTCAAGGTAAAGTTTAGGGAAACAACAGTGCTGACAGGCTTGTACAGGCTTGCTAACATTATGCTTATTTCGCCCCACAAAGAGGACGGATTCCCTGGAGAGATCATATTCATTTTCCGACACCGAGAGTGCTCCAGAGGTCCGTCGGTTGCGAGGGCCTTGGGGATCAGCTAGTGAAACGGACCTCATGAGAAAGGCCCTGGTTGATGAGCTCCATCAACGCTTTTCCTCGGCCGAATCTCTCAACCGGGCTGAAATTGCGGCTCCTGCTTCTCGTCGTCGGCTTAGAGCTGCAAGTATTTCGGGACTTACTCGCGGTGACCCCGAGTGGAAATCGACTTCTATTGAAGAACTGAGGGCGAGGAAAAGCTCCAAGTCAATTGAGGTATATTGAAGTTACTGGATGATAAATTTCATCTCCTTGCTTTGTTATTTAAGCATGCCAGGCTTGAAGAAACTTGTGAAAAATGTTTAAACCAATGAGGGAGGTGTTCTTATGCCTGTCATCAGTCTATAAATTTTACTTACCCCTTTATAGTTTAGGAGACTCGATGAGCCAGCCTCTGGGACTGGAACCAGACTGAAGTGCTAGGACTAAGGCGACTAAAAAGAGTATTATTTTTCCCTTTGAACGGGACTCTAATCCATCGCAAGTAAGCCCCCGTCATTTTCGAAATTTCTGAATGGACTACTTCATTCATTCTGCTGGTTGGAGAAAAGCGCGGGAAGCGTGTAGTGTCTGGCCCAAGAACGCGACCTCCCCCAGAGCTCGAACCAGGACTTCTCGATGTGGTACATTAAACTAGGTAGCCACTATATATTCTTCGTTTGCATGTGACGTCATCGTGTTCTAAAATCCAAAACTAAAGAGCCACCAAAGTTTTTATCCCCATCAGGCATAAGAGGCGTTTAATTTATATCTGTTTACAACTTTTCGGTTCAATAGCTTGCTTCGTCTGGAAACAAGCGCAGTTTGAATTTCAGAGTTATAGCGGTGTGTGACATAAAGCTACGTTCGCGTTTGTCGAAATATATATACTTATCTCGTGATTTTTAACATTTTTAGAAGTTAAAGTATGAGGAAAAGTGTTTATTTAAATGTTTCCTTGTTCAGTTCAGATAATCCGCCATGTTGGTGTACAACGGAGGTACACCAGCATCGCGGATCCATACCAGGCTCTGTAAATTTGTGCAAAATATTTCGACGAATATCTGAAGTTTGGGAAAACGCACAGAGCTAAAACTTGGAGAAGTATCTTCCTTTTTATCTACTATGTAATAACAATAATTTCTTGACTTTATCATCTCAATGGTTTTCGAATTTTATCCTTATGAGCGAGGATTTCTTTCAGCTCGCCGCTCAACTCCTACAAGAAGAAACAGACAAATGGGAGGAAGAGAACAATTCAATCGTGATGGTGGCCAAGGAGATGGCTCAACAAATGCTACAGATCGCCAAGTTCGCTCGAGGAGGAAACCGACTTCAGGTACCTGGGCTGGGGTGGATAATTAATGCATCCCAACCGGGGTAGGGTCGGTCATTGTATGGTCTTGTAACGAAAACCTTGCTTCGGTTTCTGCCATTTCGCCAGCAATGTTTAACGAAATCGATTTCTATGTAACAGTAGGACTCGAGTTTTTGTTCGGGCGAATTTTCGGCGACGCGAGGCCGCGTTTATGTGCTAATTTAATTGTGTAGTGGAGAAAAGGTGCCCATAAAAGTTCTTTTCTCGTCTTTAACAGAATAAAATGGAAATGATTAACACAGCAAAAGCTATCGCGTCCAATGCCAAGTTTATTCTCAAGTTTGCTCACGTCATTGCTGAACAGAGTGTCGACGAAAGGTAAGGAAAAGATCTGGCGGTCTTAATTTTCAAATTTGAGTGAGACACAAACTGCAATAGGATATTGTTTTGTTGCTTTTTTCAGGAGTAGAAATGATTTGCTGTACTATGCAGAATACCTGCCAACCATCAGTACACAGCTCAAAATCATTTCGTCTGTTAAAGCAGCCACTCCCTCGGACATTTCGGTAGGTTAACATGTATAAATGATTTGTTCTACCTTCATTAAACTCCCTTCCGACCCATGCGTAAAAAAAATAATACTTGCTACGCAACGCTTGACAAAATGGACCTTGTTACAACGCATGCGTTCCTGTTCCAGTACTGTTCCCCAGTTTCCGCTCGCTGTTACCTGATCTGTTCTTTGCTATCTCTTGCAGGCAGACGCAATGCTGGTAAAAAATGCACAAAATCTTATGCAAGCCGTTGTGAAAACTCTAAAAGCTGCTGAGGCCGCTTGTGTAAAGGTAACGTGACACTTAGACTAACGCGTTGTTAGTTGTTTCACTGAGAAGAGAATCATAGTTAATTCAAAATATTTTTCTTGTTTGCTTTTAGGGTCTCCGCCCACCTGGGCCAGATGCCTCGTCTGATCACACGGAAGCCGCTGATCTCGCTTTTCAGTGGAAAAAGAAACTAAGAAGACAACGTGCAATCGAGGTTCTGACCGCATCACGTGACCAACTAGGTCTGCGCAGACGAGAGAAAAACAGTTCCACTCCTTCTTTGGTAGATATTGTTCACGTGTAACACAAAGTCCTGCTTGCAGAGATGGGTCAGCTTATACCACAGTCAAATTATCCGTCAAGGAGAAAACGTCGTTCCCAAAAGGCTTTTATTAGTGTAAAGAACGATAATAATGTAAGAGGCCATTAGCAGGTTTTCGTTGTAAAACAGACATGTAAATAGGTTTTTCACAAGTGAGTTTACAAAAAACCAATTCCTTCCACGGCTGTTTACATCTTTTTGGTTGTAGTGAGGCACGGAATAGACATTTTGTGAAAGAACTCCTGTGTACAAAGCCTCCTTTACAAGAAATACATTGTCTACATTGTCTCAACAAATTCTTCTGTTCTTTCGAGTTTGAAAATTGAAACCTGAAATTTACGCGTGGGAAGAAATAATAATTATTTAATACTTGGAACTCGAATCGTCACTGCAGTCATTTGAAATCACACGGAAACCTACACAGTCTGCTCTGGTGCAGATCCCTTCCAAAACAACTAAAAAAAGGCAGGTACACAGGTAAATTAACATGCTTCATTCCAATGGTATAAACAGGCTATAAAGTGCTGAGGTTGACTGTGAAAATTCAGTGGTTTCCTCTGGTCGCTGTGACCTTACTTCATCTCGGCTCCCTGGCTCAAGCGTTGCAAGTAAAGGCCGATTAAACTACTTGACTGATTTCAAGAGAAAAGAAGACTGACAACAGTCTAATTTGAGATTCCTATAACTTTTCAACACGAAGACAGAATTCTATTATTGCAACTACAAAAATCGGGCTAACAATGATATGAGNGACGAGAGAAAAACAGCTCCACTCCTTCTTTGGTAGATATTGTTCACGTGTAACACAAAGTCCTGCTTGCAGAGATGGGTCAGCTTATACCACAGCCAAATTATCCGTCAAGGAGAAAACGTCGTTCCCAAAAGGCTTTTATTAGTGTAAAGAATGATAATAATGTAAAGGCCATTAGCAGGTTTTCGTTGTAAAACAGACATGTAAATAGGTTTTTCACAGGTGAGTTTACAAAAAACCAATTCCTTCCACGGCTGTTTACATCTTTTTGGTTTTAGTGAGGCACGGAATAGACATTTTGTGAAAGAACTCCTGTGTACAAAGCCTCCTTTACAAGAAATACATTGTCTACATTGTCTCAACAAATTCTTCTGTTCTTTCGTACAGTGTTCATTGTTACTCACTTTTTGTAACTGTTGCTGTTTGAATAAAGTAAAAAACACAAGAACACAATGGTTTACGTAGGAATCTCGCCTTAAAGATATAACCAATCAGGGCATGCGTTGTATCGGCTACAAACACAAGCCTTATAATAAACAGCCAATATGAACGACCGAGTGCTTAAGGCAAGACTGGGCACTAGACGTCTTCTCAAAATCTACCCGTATGACCCTGCCTCGAAATTTCAGGAATTAGAGCTAAGCTGTAATTAAATATTCACGCAAAACAAAATAAAACCTGGCAAACCAAGAATTTTTTTAGAAAACATACTTGGAATCTGTCTGGTGCATTTTTCCCCCTGAGCAGATTTTTCTCTCTTCATTAAAAGAGTTTGAAAATTGAAACCTGAAATTTCCGCCTGGGAAGAAATAATAATTATTTAATACTTGGAACTCGAATCGTCACTGCAGTCATTTGAAATCACACGGAAACCTACACAGTCTGCTCTGGTGCAGATCCCTTCCAAAACAACTAAAAAAAGGCAGGTACACAGGTAAATTAACATGCTTCATTCCAATGGTATAAACAGGCTATAAAGTGCTGAGGTTGACTGTGAAAATTCAGTGGTTTCCTCTGGTCGCTGTGACCTTACTTCATCTCGGCTCCCTGGCTCAAGCGTTGCAAGTAAAGGCCGATTAAACTACTTGACTGATTTCAAGAGAAAAGAAGACTGACAACAGTCTAATTTGAGATTCCTATAACTTTTCAACACGAAGACAGAATTCTATTATTGCAACTACAAAAATCGGGCTAACAATGATATGAG